CAATAAAATTAAAATTCATCTTTTTTACTATATAAAAATATTTTTTGCATATTTTGCATTTTTAGTAATTTTAAAATACATAATTTTTAATTTTGCATCGCACGAACCCGTGGGCTCTAGCCTGAATGCAACTGATGCGACTGAAATTTTTTTTGATTGGTTGTACTCCCAAATTCCACGACGTATTTCTTGTAATATTTTATCAGAGAAATCTAAAACATATATATTATTATTAGCGAGTATGGCAAGAATATAAGAAGGATATAACATTCATGAACAGTTTGGGACATAGTGTGAGACAGTCTCAAAATGCTTGGGAAATAGAAAATGTACATCGCTGGCGAAAGGTATGTAAACTGTTCCACATTAAGCCCCAATGTTCCGGGTGTCTCAACAACGTTCCATGACAACACTGCATTTCGCCAGAATATTTGTTGCGACTCGAAATTTTTTTTTATTAATTTATTTATAGAGATCGACCAATAATAATCGAGATGCGGCATTTTAATTTATCAATATCAGTTTACGATTACAATTTATAATAATATTTGAAAAGAAATGAAAATTCAAGTAAATACAATATTTAAGGTGAGGAATTCAGATTATCATTAAATTTATAAGGCTATTATATATTAACTAAATTAATTGTAGTATTATATATAAAAAATAAATTAATAAATTATTTACCATACATCGATTCTAGTTTTCTCTTTTCTTGATCTGACAATTGAAGCACAGTTGTTAAAACCGGAAGTAAAGATTTCTAATGAAACAAAATATCATCATTAATATTTGAGTGAGTAAAAATGGTCATTAATTCTTGTAAATCAAACTTACTCTGCGATCCTTATATTCCAAGAATTTTAATATCACATCTCTAATGTAAAGTATTTTCGTATCATCATCCATTAAACTATTATTAAACGATGATGTGGAAGCTGAAGGATTTCGAGGAGATTGTGGTGAATTCGGTGCAGTTCGATCTAACATTTTATGAAGTTTTCTGACTTCTTCTTGCAAAGTCTAATTAATATCAAGTTATGCGAATGAAAAGTTAGACGTATATTAATAAATTAAATTTAAAATGAAACTTTCATATACCTTATTCATTGTTCTTAAAGTGCTTTCACGTAAACGAGATTCTTCCAACATTTTCTCGTATTCTTCTTTAATTCTTTCTTTCGAATGTTCTAATTCACGGTAATTGGCCTAATAACAAAAACGTTAGAAATATTTTCTTTGTATTGGTTTATATATGTAAAAATATTACTCACAGATTTTTCGTCTGCATTTGAAACTTTAGAAGAAAGGTTGCTCATTTTTACTTCAATATCTAATATTCCTTGTTTTAATGAATGATTTTCTTGTTGAATTGACTTTATAGAATTGTCCTTTTCCTCTAATTGATTTTCAAGCCGTTTTGTCGCTTGGTCTTTTGCAGTTAGTTGATTGGCCATATCTTGTATTTGAGAATTAATCGTTCGTTTGACCTCTATTAAATCCAATTCGGCTTTTTCTTTCCCCCGCCTATAAGTTTCAACTTGTTTCCTTAAAGAACCAACTTTTTCCATTGCTTCTTTATCTAATTCCTCGACTTTAATATGTAATGTTTCATTTTCACGACTCTTATTTTTATAAAGACGTTTCAATGACGTTAATTCTTCTTCCAAAGTTAGTGATCTCTCCTCAAATTCTTTTAATTGATGAGTAAGTTCGGCAGAACGATGCTTTAAATTTTCCAGTAAAGACTGTGAAGATTCAAATTCTGCTTGCCTTACTTGTAATTGATCAAATAATTTTTCTTTTTCTGTCGTTAATTTTTCGTTAAGAGTTTCAAGTTGTGTAATTTGTGTTGATTTTGTGGTTAACTCCTTATTAAAACGTGTAATTTCTTGTTTCAAATTTGAACTAGCATTTTGTTCTGCAATTCGAGCAGCTTCTATAAGACGTTCAACTTCATCGCTTAAATCTTTTTTCTCTTTTTCTAAAATGTTTATTTTTTGTTGGGTCTTTTTTAGTAAACCAAGAGATTTATTACGTTTATCTTCTTCTTCTAGTTGTTGCTTTTTCAAGTCCTCAATTTCATTATCACGTTTTTGAATCGTTGATTTCGCTTCAGTTAAAGATTCTTGAACGTCTCGTTCGCGTTGTGTCAAAGATTTCAATCTAGATTCAACGTCGGATAATTTTTCAAGAGCATCCGTTTTAGCCACATGAAGTCTAGAAACATCCGATACGAGTAAAGCATAATTCTTATCGGTTATTTCTAATTTACTTTTCATCGTTTCCATCTCATCATCTGTTTTCGCACGAAAATCATTTGCTTTCTTTTGAACAATTTCCAAATCTCTAATTAGATTTTCTTTGGATGTACCGAGTTCATCACGTTCTTTTGTTAATTCATTAATCCGATTTTCCAATTCTGCAAGTTTTTTGTTCATATTAGTCGAATCAGATTTCAATGCATCATGTTGTTCACTAAATACAGTATACTTTGATTTCAGTTCATCTCGCTCCCTCGATAAATTTTCTCGCTCTGTAATTGTATTATCTAAATTTTTTTGTAAATTACCTTTCGCATTTTCAATATTAACGATTTTGTCACGATATTCATTTCTTGTTTGTTCAAGTTTCAAGATTGATTCATTTGCTGAATTCAATTGTGATCGAATTGTACTTAACTGTTCATCTTTTTCATCTTCGTTTATTTTTAATGTTGTTATTTTTTCCTCTGATTCTTGAATCTTTATTCGTTGTTCATCAATTTGTTTTTTGTTAACATTTAATTCTTCGATCAACCCATGAACTTTAACAACCAATTGATCCTTCTCTTTTGTTATAGCATCATATTCTGTATTTATAGGGGCTCTATCTGGTTGGTTTTCATCAGCATCCTTATTTTGTGCCTGCTCTTGATCTTGTATCGGTAGAATTTCTGTTGAAGGAGAAGGTTTATTTGAATCATTTCCTTGTTTCAATTGTTCAATTTCTTGTTGCAATGAATTTATCTGCAACTCAAATTGAAGCCTTTTGGTTTCCCAATCTTCATTATCAGGTGCAACCTCTCCTTGTTGAGGTGCAGCAATTCCTTCTTTTTCAGTAACAGCTTTAAGCTGATCTTCAAGAAGAGCCTTTTCTTTTGCAATTTCCAATTTTGCACTTTCCAATTTCTTATCAAACTGTTTTGTTATCAAATCCCTTTCATTTTCAAATCCTTTAATTTTTGTATCTAATGCCATCCGATGTTGTTCTGTTAAATCTTGAGTTTCCTTTAAAGTTATTTCTAATTCGTTTTTAATACTTTTATTTTTATTAGTTAACCCTTCAATTGTTTGTTCTAATTTTGATTTTTCGGCTAAGTAAGTATTTTCAAGTTGAGAAATTTTTTGTTCAAACTCTATTTTTAACTTTTTTTCATTATCTATTTGTGTTTTCGTTGAGGTTTCAATGTTTTTATTTAATTGTGAAATTTCGTTAGAAAATTTTGTGTTACATTCAATTAATGAAGATTTTTCAGATTCTAATTGTTGGATTTTTTGATTTAAAGGATCTACTTTTTTAATAATTTCATCTTCTAGGTTTGATGATTCTAAAGATTCTAACTTCTTACGATAATTATTTAATTCATTATTTAATTCTTCAATTTTTAAATTTAGTGAAGAATTTATCGGTTTAACTTCTTCCAATTGTTTTTGTAAAGAAATCATTTCAGTTTCATATTCTAATCTTATTAATTTTGACGTTTGTGAATCTACCGATAAAGAAGAGGAAGATGCTTCTAGTGCAACTTCTTCCTGAGAACTTTCTTCAACATTTTTATTTAAATTTGCTGAATCATCCTTATTGCTATCAATTTCTTGAAATGTAGACGGTGATGAAGGTTTTTCGGATAATTGTTTACGCAACTCTTCAACTTTCTACAAATGATAAAATTTGTGAATTTTTAAATATTTAAAAAAAAATTTTTTAAAAATTTAGAATTAAGATCGAACCTTTTCTTGTTCTTGCAATTTTCTCTGTAAGTTATCGATCAGGTCTGATTGTGATTTGGATTCAATATTATGAGTTTCCTTCATTTTCTCAATTTGTTTTTTGGATTCTAAAAAAAAAAGATTTAGTGAGAAAGAAACGCATAGTCATAGTAAGGCAAGAAAAGAAAAACATGTGTAACATTATCTCGAAGTGTAGACGTTGTAATTTACCGTCTTGGATCTGAGTTAATCTTTTTATTTCTTCCATTGACATCTATGAATTTAATGAAAGTTAGTTTAGTCAAAAAAAAAAAAAAAAAAAAAAATTTCGAATTAAGGAACTATAATGATTAATATATGTACATTGTTCTTAATATTTAAATTCTTTAAATGCGCATCAAGTGCTTCCACGTCAGAAAGTCCTTCTAAAAGGGTATTTTCCCTTAATACAGCTTCGACTGTTTTTTTTTCATTAAGCAGTTTCTTGTATAATCTTACAAGTTCTAAATAAAGTACATTATTTTTTTTTTAAAAAAAAAAAATAATTTCTAATTAAGATTAAATCGAGTATTTTACCCTATTTTTACCCATTAACCAATGAATGAATATAATTTTTTTCATCGACCTTATCGACCTTTTATCTCACCTGGAAATTTTGTTTCATATTTCTTTAGCTTAGCTAACTTTTCAATTATTTCTTCCGGAAGGCCTTCTATTTCAAAATTTTCTTTATGATCTTCAATTTTTACTTCGTCGTCTTCGTTCTCGAATAAAGTAATGTCTACTTTACTGCCACTATCTTCACTTTTTATTGAAGCGGAAGAATTTTGTGGTCTAGTAGGTTGTATAGGACGACGAAAAAGTCCACCGACTGAACTGCTACTACTATTATTACTACCTGAAGATACAGATTCTTTACTTGTTTCATCTTCATTATTAACACCATTGTGTTGCTTTTCTTTTATATGGTTAAGTCGATCTTTTATATTAGTGAACATTATTATATTATTATTGGTATTATTTAAAGCACAAAACGTTAAAGAAACTATTAATGTATGTTTTAATAGAATATTAGGTTGAATATTATGATTCGTAGTTGCAGAAAATACTCTTCGTCTATTAAAAATTAAAAATCTTGGAGTTATAAGTTTCCCGCGAGTTATGCGAGTCAAAATATTTTCCATCAACCATACTAGTTCTTTTTTGTAGTATTACCGGTTTTAAATAAGTGTATGTTGTTATGCAAACGTGTTATTTTTGGTTGACGGAACATCCAATTAAAGCCTCATTAAAGCCACATTATTTTTTTTCACTGCCACGCTTTGATGTGTAACTTACGTTAATTCAACTACGCCACCTATCCGAATCTCATGTGATTAAAACTAGGTAACGGGAACCGTTGGAGCGTCCGAAGCGTTAATCAAACTTAAAATGTCTGTATCACTACACTAAATTAACAATCACGTTGATCTTTTCTAAATAGTTAAATAAATGTTCGAAAAACTGATCAATTAAAAAAAAAATCTCTTTACATTTATAAAAGCTGTAAAAAGGAAAAAAAAGTCTATTTAATGGATGAAGTAAAGTTATTAGTTCCTTTTCATTTTGTAATTTAACGAAACTAATAAATTTGTATTTTATTTTTATTAAACAAAAATGTCAAATTCGAGGAATC